TCCTTCTGGCTATTTTAAAAATATTTTATTTATTTATATAAATATATGTATATATACATATATATACTCACATATACCGTACTATGCACACACACACACACACACACACACACACACACATATATATATATATATAAACATACTATTCATACCTCTATTGATCAGTTCTTTCTCTGGAAGTAGATAACATCTTCTTTGGTAAGTCCTTTGTAGTTGATTTGAATATTTATAATACTCAGAATAGCTTGGTCATTCACTGTTATTCTTCAAACAATATTGCTGTTACTGTATTCAGTGTTCTCTTGGTTCTGCTCATTTCACTCTTTATTATTCCATGAAAGTCTTTCTATGTTTTTCTAAAATTAACCAGTTCATCATTTCCTTTTTTAAAGTTAATTTATTTTTAGTTTTCAACATTCACTTCCATAAGATTTTGAGTTTTAAACTTTCTCCCCTTCCCTCCCCTCCTCCTTCCCCAAGACAGCATGCAATCTGATATAGTCTCTACATATATAGTCATATTAAACATGTTTTCACATTAGTCATGTTATAAAAAAGAATTAGAACCAATGGGAGGAACCATGGGAAAGAAGAAACAAAACAACCAAAAAAAAAAAAAAGAGAGAGAGAGCAAATAGTATACTTCCATCTGCATTCAGACTCCAAAGTTCTTTCTCTGGATGTGGATAGCATTTTCTATCATGAGTCTTTTGGAAATGTCTTAGATCATTGCATTGCTGAGAAGAGCCAAGTATCAAAGTCAGTCATCGCACAATGTGGTTGTTACTGTGTACAAGGTTCTCCTGGTTCTGCTCAGTTCACTCAGCGTCAGTTCATGTAAGTTTTTCTAGGTTTTTCTGAAATCCGCCTGCTCGTCACTTCTCATAGCACAATAGTATTCCATTACATTCATATATCACAACTTGTTCAGCCATTCCCCAGTTGATGGGCATCCTCTCAATTTCCATTTCTTTGCCACCACAAAGAGAGCTGTTATAAATATTTTAAACATATAGGTTCTTTTCCTTTTTCCTTCATCACCTTGGGAAATAGACCTAACAGATTGGGTCAAAGGGTATACACAGTTTTATAACTCTTAGGGCAGAACTCCAGATTGCTCTCTAAAATGGTTGGATCAGTTCACAGTTCTACCAACAGTGTATTAGTATCCCAATTTTTCTACATCCCTTCAACATTTGTCATTTTCCACTTCTATCATTTTAGCCAGTCTGATAGTTGTGAGATAATATTTCAAAGATGTTTTAGTTTGCATTTCTCTGATCAATAATGATATAGAGCGTTTTTTCATATGACTATATATAGCTTTGAATTCTTTATCAAAAAACTACCTATTCATATCCTTTGACCATTTATAATTTGAGGAATGACTCATATTCTTATAAATCTGACAAAGTTCTCTATATGTTTGAGATATTTTCTGATGTTGGCTAGTGGTTTAATTTGTACAAAACCTTTTTAATTTAACGGAATCAAAACTATCCATTTCACATCTCACAATGCTCTCTACAGCTTTGATGAGGTCTAGATGTTTAGGGGTGCTAGGACCCCAAAATCACGACATGTGGGTCCTGCCCGAAAGAATTCAACACAAGCCTTCTTTCAGCCAAAGATAAGGTTTACTAAAGATCCACCCACCATATTAGCTAGACTCTTAAGGAATCTGAGCACCTGTGAGCTATTGGCTAGATTGTAAAAATCTGAGCATCTTAATTGAGACAAAGATGGATTTTACATACAGAAAGACTGTAGGAGGGATCTAGGAGTGGCCAAGTAGTCTATGAGGTAAAAGAATTCCAAGGACCTGGATCACAAGGACAAGGGAGAATGGAGTCTAGATAGGATTAAGGGTGGGAAGCTGCCTGGGGCCTTAGGGAGGTAAGACAATGGAGAGCTAGGCTAGGTTAAGGGTAACAGAATTGGGAGATTGGGTGTAGTCACAATGAAAGGCCTCAGGCTAAGGCCAGAGATTTGGCCAAGTCGGGAAAGTCCAGGGTTTTTCCTTTCTGGGGTCCAGATCCCATCCTCATTAGCTTGATTATTCATAATTTCTTCTACTATCCATAAGTCTAGGTAATATGTTCCAGGTTCTTCTAATTTACTTATGATCTCTCCCTTTATGTCTAGGTCATGTATCTATTTTGACCTTATCTTGGTAAATGGTGTAAGATATTGGTCTATACCTAATTTTTGCCTGACTACTTTCCAGTTTTCCCAAGTTTTTTTTTTGTCCCAAAAGTTTAAATCTTTACATATGCCAAACACAATTTAACTATAATTGTTTACTACTATGTATTGTATGTCTGCTCTCTTCCACTGATCCACATTTCTATTTCTTATCCAGTACCAGATAGTTTTAATTACTGCCTTATAATAAAGTTTAAGGTCTGGTACTGCTAAGACCTTCTTCTTTTACATTTTTTTTTTCATGAATTCCTTTGACATTCTTGATCTCATCTAATCTACTTCTGATCACTGCCTGCCTTATCCTCTCCTCTTGCCTTCCTATTTCTTAATCTCCCCATCCTTCTAAGTCCCTCCCTTACCCTCTCCCCTCCAGTCTTAATTTGCATACCCTTCTAAGCTTCCCTCCCCTATCACTTCCCCTTACCCTCCTGTTTCTCTATAAATTACGAGGATTTTTACCCTTTCTAGATGTGTGTTATTCCCTATTTAATCCAGTTCTGATGAGAATAAGGTTCTAGCACTACCAGTCCTCCAACCCCCACCTACTCTCCACTGTAACAGTTCTTCTATTCATGACTCCTTTGTATGAGATAATTGCTCCATTTTACCTCTCAATTTTATTTTTAGGATCATCCCATCATAACTCAACCCCAAACCTTCCATCTATGTATCTCTTTCAAACTACTCTAGTAATGATAACATTCTTTTTTTTTTAAATGATAACATTCTTAAGAATAACAGACATTTTCCCACACAAGAAGTAAACAATTTGACCTTCTTAAGTCCGTTATAATTGGTCTTTCAAATTTACCTTCTTGTGATTCTCATGATTCTTGTAGGCCATATTTTCTGTTCAGTTCTGGTCTTTTCCGAAAGAATATTGGAAAGTCATTTAATTCATTAATTATCCCTAGAATTGAGCACATTGTCCTAGATATAGTCTGACTTGGGTAAAGAACATTGATTCCTAGAAGGTGATTCTTTTCTTAATGCAGCCCAAGATCCCTTTAACTTTTTCGCTGCTATATCACTGTTGACTTATTTTAAACTTGTAGTTCACTAAGATACCCAGATCTTTTTCAAACAAACTGTCTAATCGTTGTCCCCACCTTGCATTTGGGAAGTCTGTTTTTTGAAACAGACTACTCTGAATCATTGGGGGAAGTGCCCACATGGATAAGAAAACTAACTCCCTGGAGGCAACATAATGTAATAGATGAATGAAATACTGGAGATATAGCCTGGCAGCCTCTTCTGCAGGTAGGGGCTACAGTCATAGGGACTGAAGACCCTCAAAAGTCATATCACCCAAGTCCATTTCAACATCAGAAACGGATATGATTTTATTAGTGGAACTGACATAAAGAGGTATTATCATCTGCTTTGCTGCCATACAATAAGGACTGTGAGTCCTTTCCATCTGAATCTAAACTGAAACCTTCTGTGTTGTCTTTCCCATTAGGATGTGAGCTCCTTAAGAGCAGGGATTGTCTTACTTTCCTATTTATTTGCTAATGATTAGCACACAGTAAGAGCTTTGCACGCAGTAAGTGCTTAATAAATGCTTTCTTCATTCATTCGGGATAAAGAAGACCTGGGTTCAAATTTTGCCCTCTGACATTGGGGCAAGTTCATTAACCTCTCCGAATGCAGTTTCTTTGTCTGTAAAATGAGGGAGTTGAACGAAATGTCCTCTGAAGTGCTTTCCAATTCTACGTCTGTGGTGTTAGGAGTATGGAAGGATGTGCAAGGTAGTATGGTGGGCACCGGTTCTGTGTGATCAGTAGAAGTTCAATAGATTCAATGGAATACAACCAACATTAATTGTGTCCACAACACTGTTCTAAGTGCTTTCTGAGGTGAGCTTTTTGCTCTTTGGGGCCTACTTTGCATGGTCTGACCATCCTCTTGGACTCTTTTTCGTGCCACATACCAGGCACACATGGGACCTTAGAAATCAATAGTCCCAGCCCTTTACTTGACAAATGGGGAGACTGAAGCTGAGAGAGGGGAAACAACTTGTGTAAAGTCATACAGAAAGTCGTTGGCAGAGCTAGCATCTTCACCTAGCTCGACTGCCTCCATCTGTAGTGTGCTTGACAGTTTCTTACACTTTACTTCCCCACGTGTACTCTTCAGCGCAGTAACACTGACCTCCAGGCTGCCGCTGCTGCTTGCAGTGGATAGAGCAAGGGCCCGTAAGTCAAGAAGGTCTGCGTTCAAATGCGGCTCAGATACTTACTAGCTGTCTAATCCTGGTCAAGTCACTTACACCCTATTTGCCTCAGTTCCTCATCTGTAAAAAATGGGACACATTGGAGAAGGAAATGGCCCACCACTCCAGTATCTTTGCCAAGGAAACCACATAGAGTCGGAGATGACTGAACAACAACTTGAAGGCAGAGAATGTATTGTTTTTGTCTTTGTGCTAGACACAAAGTGGACGCTTAATAAATGCTTCTTCAATACAACGGAATCGGGCCTCAGTTTCCCCATCTGTAAAAATGGGTTTATCATTCTTGCGCTCCCTACTGTAAAGGGCTCTAGGAAGGGGAGAAATCATTTCCATTCTTGAGCCCCTGCCTGGGGGGGAGGGGGGAGCTGCACTTCCCTAAGGTGACAGCCAGGTGTCCCCTTCTTTCCAAAGCCTGGACTGGGGCTGGAGGAGGGGCGAGAGCCGGGGCTCCCTCCTTCTCCCTACCCCCAGCCCTCTGGCTCGGTGTCTGTGCTGGGCTCCCCGCCCCCCCGGTATAAAATCAACTTCGCCAGCCTCTTGCCTCCAGAGTGAGGGCTGACTGCAGGACCTGATCATGAACGCAGACGCTGCCCCAGCGCCTATCTTCCAAACAGGAGAAGACTGCCGGCCCGCTTGGCAAAAGGCGGCCGCCGGCTACGATGAGCCCGACACGCACCTGCAGATCCTGGGCAAGCCGGTGATGGAGCGCTGGGAGACCCCCTACATGCACTCACTGGCCGCCGTGGCCTCCTCCCGAGGTACCCGCCGGGCCCTCCTCTCCTAGGCCGCCCTCGGAGCGGATCCAAGCGGTCAGCTCCCAGGGAAGCGGAGGGGAGTCAGTAGAGAACCCCAGCCATGGGAGGAAGGGAAGGGCAGGGGAAAGAAGGTGCAGGGCGGGGTGGGTGCAGAATGAAAAGAAGGCTGGATGGGGGAGTGCAAGGGCCTGAGTTCAAATCCTAGCCCTGCCCCCTCTGTTTCTGGCTGGGTGAACGGAGCTTGGACTGTCTTTAGGACCCTTAATTCCGCTAAATCTTGTGCTCACAAACTTTGAGTCTGTAAAAGTTACTTAACCCCAGTAGCCTCCCCCATCCCCTTTCCTCATTTGTAGAAAGAGGGGATTGGACATCTCCAAATCCCGAAGTTCAAGGACTTTAGGAAGTCCCAGCTAGAAGGGGTTTTAAGCCACAAGCCTGCTTGGCCCATTCTTCTAAAAAAACTTCAGCAGCTGCTCACTGGCTTTGGAGCCAAGTTCCAAGTCCCGTCTGCCCAGCATTGAAGGCCATCTTCAGTCGGGTGGGACAGGCTCTGCAGCAGTCAGGCTGGGATGCGGGGTTCTGCCCCTCCAAAAGAAGCCTTACACCTGCTTCTAAAGCTTCTGAATCTTTGCTCTGCTTGGAATAACCTTGCTTCCTTTTTGGCTTAAAGCCCAGCTGGTGTAAAATCACCTCCTCCAGGAAGCCCTCCCACCCCTTACCCCACCCAGTGACTTGTCCAAGGTCACACAGCTAGTGTCTGAGACTTACGAATTAACTCAGGTCGTCTGGACTCCAGGTGGAGCGCTCCATCCACTGCCTCACTTAGCTGCCTCCATGATCCTGTGTATTTTAATGCTCAGGGTTTGGGTCTTCTAGCTCCATAGCAGAAGAGATTGGAACTTATCCAAACTTTTCATTTTTATTTTCTGTATGGGTATATATGCACATATTGTCTCCCCCAATAGAATGTAATCTTGAGGGCAGAGATTGGTTTTTTTTTCTTTCTGTCTTTGTATTCCCAGAACCTAGCAAATGACTGGCCCATGGTAGGCACTTAATAAAGGCCCACTGCTTGCTTTGTTGACCTTGATATTTAGAGGGGAGGTGACTTGTCTTATAACATCCTCTATGTAAGAGGCAGAGCCTGGAGAAGGAAAACATAGGAACAAATGGTAGGGACCATGACTTTTGGGACCTTCTGGGGTACCCACAGATGGCCTATGGTACAAGGTCATGTTCTTTGTCTTCCTAGAGACTCTAGGCCTGGTTCTTTATTAGAGACTTTGTGAGGATTAATCTTTCTAAAACACTCCAGCTCAAACATCTTCCATGGCTCCCATTGTCTATAGGACAACGCTTACAATCAATCAGTTATGAGTATTTATTAAGCACCTACTATGTGCCAGGCACTGTAGGACTAGGTGCTAGAGATGATACAAAAACAAAGCATTCCCTGCCCCTAAGAAATTTTTATTCTATTAGGAAGTATTCTATCTGGGAAATCTACATGTACACAAATAATACATGTTGTTCGACCTTTGTTCTTGAACAGGACCAACAACATTGATGAGTTCTAGAGGTTTAGGGTTGTTGGAACCCCAAAATCATGACACTGTGGGCCCTGCCTGAAAGAATTCAACCCAAATCTTTCAGCCAGAGAAAGTTTGTTAGAGATAAACCATACAGGCAAGACTCTTAAGGAATCTGAACATTAGTGACTCCTATAAGGACGAATGGGCATGAGAAAATCTCAGCGTTTAAATGGGGGCCAGGGTGGATCTTATATATACTCAAGTAATTTTGGGTGACCAGAGGAGGGGTTGGGAAGAGGATCTGGGTGACTGGGGGAGGAATACAGGAAGAATTCCTATTGGAATGCTTGGGGGGCAGCTAGGTGGTGCAGTGGATAGAGCACTGGCCCTGAAGTCAGGAGGACCTGAGTTCAAATCCAGCTTCGGACCAAACATTTGACACTTACTAGCTGTGTGACCCTGGGCAAGTCACTTAATACTAATTACCAAAAAAAAGGGGGGGGGGAATGTTTGGGAGAGATTGGGAATAAATAGTGAAGGTAACTGGAAGGTGGAGGTTTGAATGGGGTGTGGATAAGATCGAAAGTGGGACTAGGGAGGGCTTTGATAGGGATAGTCGATAAGGAAAACCTTGGAGTGGAATATAGCCTCAGGTAACCGCTTCAGACTAAAGTGAAGTTTAAGGCTTTTCTGGTTCTGTAGATAAATGGGAGCCAAATTCTTTTTGGGGCAAGGGGCAAAGGTCTCGCTTGGGCCTATACCCCATCAGTATCATGAGCGAGATGTCTTGACTTAACATGAATTGGATATAAGTGAGGCAGAGCTGCACCACGTCCTCAGCCTCACTCCTCCAGAGTCTCCAGAGTCCCAGATCCAGGGTGTTGCAGTGGGTGACCTTGGCCTTTCTAAATTAAGGTCTTTCCCGGGTATCTGGTTGTCTGAGGCCACACCCATTCATTGACTAAGGCTAGGTAAGAGTTGAGATAAAAGATGGCACAATTTACCATCACAAAAATATCTGGGTAGACTTTCCAAGTTTCTGGCTGGAAGAGAAAACAGTTGCTTTTTACACTCATTTGTAAGCCACTGAGGCTTGAGTTGGGGCTATTACTGGCCATTTCATGAAAGTCAGAGTGATTGGGGTTTTAAGGTGGGAGTCCCAGAAACCTAGAAACTACGGAGAGAGAGAGGAGTGCCATGCTCCAAAGCTGGGATTTTCCTGAGGATCCCCTTGGCTTTACTCACTGGGGCTGACTTAACATCTGTCTGGACTTCCCCTTCCTTAGTAAGCAAAATCTTTCCTCCATTCTCCCAGCATTGTGAGCTGCATGGTGTTTTATAATGATCTGGGGGTGATTTTTTTGTTGTTGTTTTGTTGTTGCTTTTTGGTGAGGCAGTCGGGGTTAAGTGACTTGCCCAAGGTCACCCAGATAGTAAGTGTCATGTGCCTGAGACTGGATTTGAACTCATGTCCTTCTGACTTTAAGGCCAGAGCTCTATCCACTGTGCCACCTAGCTGCCCTTGGGAATAATTTTAATAAAGTTAGTGAGTCAAAGTCAGGTGCAAGGTCCCAGAATTTCCATTTTACAGGTGGAAAAATACCGTCACTGTAATTTATAAAGTCTTCCTGTGTCTGTCTCAGGTCACAGGAATTAGAATTTCTCGCCCAAAGAGAAGGGGGAGAAGAAAAGGGAAGGGAACGAGCATTTATTAAGCCCCTACTTTGGTGTCAGGCACTGTGCTAAATGCTTTACAAACATTATTTTCAGGAGTTACCAATATCAATGAAATCAGGGGTCCAGTCCTCAGCCCTTTATCTAACACTTGAAGGTTTATAAAGCACTTTGAATGTGATTATCTCATTTGAACCTCCTAACACAATACCATTGTTATATCAATTTTACAGATGAGGAAACAGGCCAAGCTAGGTTAAATGACTTTTCCAAGTGTATACAATGAGTAAGTGTCTGAGGCAGGATTTGAACCACTTGTCTTTCTGACTGCAAGTCTTCCATTCTATCCACCATGGGATCAAGCTGCTTTAGAAATAAGAAAAGGGAGGGGCAGCTAGGTGGTATAGTGAATGGAGTACCAGCCCTGGACACACTTACTAGCTGTATGACCCTGGGCAAGTCACTTAATCCTGACTGCCAAAAAAAAAGGGGGGGGGGGAATGAAGGGTTGGAGGTTGACTGACTTGAGTCATTAAACCCCAGCCTGGAAGACATGTGATTTGGGGATAGCATGGGAGGAGAGAGAGAAATGAGGAAGGAAAACATCCAGAATACTAAAGAGAATTGGTAAGAGAAGGGAGGGAAAGAGGACCAAACATTGGCTTCTTCTGGAAACACCACACAGGCACCAATTTTCCTGCACCCGATTCCCACCTAGAATTTCTTTTTTTTTCCACGCAGTTGGGGTTAAGTGACTTGCGCAGGGTCACATACTAATAAGTGTCAAGTGCTTGGTCTGAGGTCGGATTTGAACTCAGGTTCTCCTGACTTCAGGGCCAGTGCTCTATCCCCTGTGCCACCTAGCTGCCCCCCACCTAGAATTTCTTTAGGGAAGAATAGAACAAAGATTTATTAAGCACCTACTCTGTGCCAGGAACCGTGCAAAGCTTTTTGCAAAGTGGAGGGCCGGCATCATAGCAGTGTGGCTTGGACTTTATCCTGGGGGAATGGGGAGAGTTGGTGAAGTGGGAGTAGAGTAAGGGCAGCTCAGGGCCTGGGGCTGTCATGATTGAGGTGGGACAGACACTGAGTGGAACCAGAAAGAGGGTGAGGAGGCAGATACTTAACTCTGCTCTCTGTAACAGAAAGAAAAGACATTTCAGAGGCAGCGAGATGGTGCAGTTGAAAGGGCACTGTGCCCAGTGGCAGGAAGACCTGAGTTTAAATTTGGCCTCCAACAGGTACTAACTGTGTGACCCTGGTCAAGTCATGTTACCTCTGTCTGCCTCATTTCCTCTGCTGTAAAATGGAGATAGTAATAGCACCTACCTCCCAGAGTTGTATCAAATGAGAATACAATGCAGATGCTAAGTAAATAGAGGGAATTTGGTGGTGAGGGATGCTGGGGGTCAGGAAGGGCCTCATGAAAGAGGTAGTGTTTCAGCTGAGCTTTGAAGAAGGCTTTGGATTGATTCGAGAAAGCAGCAGTGAGGAAGGGGAACATTCCAGGCCTGGGAGGAGAGCCTGTATGTACAAGAGGCCAAGAGGCCAAGAGGCCAAGAGGCCAAGAGGCCGGCCAGTGAGCTCAGGTCTTCACGCACAACATCTCCTTTCAAGTAGGATCTGTTCATTTTTTTTTTCTTTAAAAGCCCGTCCAGGGCTTAACAATGTGCCTGACACATAGTAGGTGTTTAATCAATGCTTGTTTGTTGATTGATTAAGGATCAGCAAGTGGGTCCATTTGGCTAGCCTAGGGGTGGGGAACCTGCGGCTATAAGGCCACATGTGGCCTTTTAG